TGCTGGTGGTCACCGGAGAATTCTTCAGTGCCCCTGCCATCACGTTCGCCGACTCAGTAACGTTGTCCTTTCTTGGCGAGGACACTCAGAACTATGGACGGCAGAGGATGTTTGGTTCTCTGGGTAATTATCTCTTTGTAGGTAGTGAACTGGTTATGTTGTTTGGGAATGTCGTGGGATCATGTTCGGACCATAGGCACCGGAATTTTGGGCTCAGGCATCTTGACGCCCCCCCCCTTTTCCACCCCATTTTTTGAGCGAGTGAAGGGGCCCATGCCATGCACTCACCTTATAAAGAAGTTATCTTTTTGTCCCTTCCTGATTTCTCTGCCAACGCAGGCGCTACACATGAAAAGATCTGAAGCGAAAGCAATAGACCGCCCTAGGAGAGCATGGATTGGTGACATTCAAGAACTTCTACAACGACACGTATTGACAGTTACCATTGCTGTCCATCAAGCAATGGATCGCACGCTGTTGCTCCCCACAATGCTTAATGGCAGAAGTGGAAATTGATCACGATGATGATGATGATGTGTCTGGTTTGGACCAGCCACTTTTCGTGACCGTGGCATGGTAATTTTGGTCATAGTGTGAGGGAAAGTTAGCTCGTTTAGTCTCAGATAGGATCAAACGTCGTACTAGGATCAAACGTCTTACTAGGATCATACTCTTACTAGGATCAAACGTCTTACTAGGATCAAACGTCTTACTAGGATCAAACGTCTTACTAGGATCAAACGTCTTACTAGGATCATAAGTCTTACTAGGATCAAACGTCCTACTAGGATCAACCGTCTTACTAGGATCAAACGTCGTACTAGGATCAGACGTCTTACTAGGATCAAACGTCGTACGAGGATCAAACGTCATACTAGGATCAGACGTCGTACTAGGATCAAACGTCTTAATAGGATCAAACGTCGTACAAGGATCAAACGTCTTACTAGGATTAAACGTCATACTAGGATCACACGTCGTACTAGGATCAAACTGTCGTACTAGGATCAAACCTAGTACTAGGATCAAACGTCGTACTAGGATCAAACCTAGTACTGGGATCAAACGTCGGATAGTGTCGATGATGATGATGACGATGTCTTACTATCTGCATACCTCTCACGTGACTCTGATGCTTGCATAATAAGGTGTGTGGAAACAACTGTTCTCGTCTATACTGTCTTTATTGTGATACTTCAACAATGTCACAAATACATCATTGATATTCTGAATAGCGCTGTGTTATCTCTGTGGCTAAATACTCGTAGGTTCGAGTTGTGTTCTTCATCTCTAGTTACTTTATTAACTGGTTCTAGTGTCTATAACTGCCACCTGGCTTCTAGTGCTGTCTGGTACTAACGGCTTGAGCGTCGACTCTAACATCTCTATAGTTTCCTACCTAATGTGTCGCTGTTAACCATGGATCGTTGTATCTTTTATGTCTTCTCTGTAGTTCGTTGTCTCGATTCATGTCTACTGTCTAGTGACTGTCTTTGAGGCTACAGGTGACTGGCTCCTCTCCTTCTAGTGTTGAACTGGCATCTCCAAAACTGCGAGGATCATTGAGACTAGTCGCTCATCATCTGAGTCAACGACTGAAGGCATTCTTTTGAGTTGAGCTGACATCTCTACAACTGAAGGCTGCTTTGAGAGTCATTGTGACTGGTCCCTCCTCTCTTGAGTCTTGTGGACTGAAGAATTGCTCTGAGTGGATTCTTACCCATTATTTATAATTCGGTGCTGGTATGCTAGTTATTTGTTTTCTTCTCACTTTTTTCTGCTTCTAGAATATTCTAGTAAGTCTCAACTTGTTTACTATGTGCGTTTCATCATCCTATTCTGCGCAATTATAGTAGTTAGATTGACAGCTGACGTCAATATACTCCTACAAAACAAGTGCTACGGCTGAAAGGAAACGCCAACAATGACGTCAAATACTATTTACAAAATATTGTTGCTAAAAGTTATAAACTTTCTTCACATTAACCAATACGCAAAATTCTATCTCTTGACAAACAAGTGATGACGTCAATAATTAGTTTTGGCGGGAAACTGAAGGTTATCAAAACATGTTGATTTTCGGTACAGGATAACTCTGCGCAATAACCTACATTGTGCCTCCTAACAAACAAGCTATGACCGTACTCTGTTACAATTCATCCTCAGGAATCAGGAACCTCTTTAGGCAGTCGTCATTCATACTTCGTAGCAGTCATCCCTTTTGCCAAACTGGACCACTCACTCCAGCTGTTAAAGACCAGCTAACTCGATCTTTTCTCTCCCTTTTAAGCCTGTCTCTAGTTTCCACAGGTGGTCACATTTCAACAGTTAGTCAAGCACGGGAATCTGTGCGCGTTCCGTTCTCGGGCTCTACTCACTTGACTTACCCTTGACCCTACCACGTCATATGGTGAACCCTTTGGTAAATCCTATCATTACAATTAGGTAGATCGACTTAGAAGATATCCTAGCAAGTTGTTTGAGGTAGAAAGAGGACTCA